GGAGTTTCGCTCTTGTTACCCAGGCTGGAGTGCAATGGCGCAATCTCGGCTCACCGCAACCTCTGCCTCCCGGGTTCAGGCAATTCTCCTGCTTCAACCTCCTGAGTAGCTGGGATTACAGGCACGCGCCACCATGCCCAGCTAATTTTTTGTATTTTTAGTAGAGACGGGGTTTCGCCATGTTGACCAGGATGGTCTCAATCTCTTGACCTCGTGATCCACCCGCCTCAGCCTCCCAAAGTGCTGGGATTACAGGCTTGAGCCACCGCGCCCGGCCTTTTTTTTTCTTTTTTTTAAGAGACAGGGTTACACTACACATTGCCCAGGCTGGTCTCAAATTAATAAACTTAAGTAATCCTTGCACCACAGCCTCCCAAGTAGCTGGGACTTAATGTAACCGTATGAAAAGTTTCATACAATTTCAGATTCCACACTGCAAATAACCATGTGTTGAGATGCAGTACAAAAATATCCACAAATATCTAACAAGGCTATTAATGTACTCCTTTTTTCAACTATACACCCTGTGACATTGAACTTTCTTCATTATTTCAATCAAAAAATATATTGCAACAGATTTAATGCTGAAATTGTTTTCCACTAAGTCAGACATGAGCATTTTGCAAAAATGTTAAAACAATGCCATTCTTTGTACTATTTTGTTGTGAAAAATTGCTATTTTTCATGTCTAAAATGTTATACTACATGTAAAAATCTTACTTTTAGAAGAATAAGCATTTTTTTTCTGTTTATTATTATCATTGAAGAAGGGTCTCGCTCTGTCACCTAGGCTGGAGTACAGTGGCACAATCATAGCTCCCTACAACTTCAAATTCCTAGACACAAGAGATCTTCCCACCTCAGTCTCCAGATTAACTGGGACTACAGGTACACACCACCGCACTCAGCTAATATCTTTGTTTGTAGAGACAGCAACTCGCTATGTTACCCAGGCTGGTCTGTACTCGTGGTTTCAAGTGATCCTCCCACCTCAGCCTCCCAAAGTTCTGTGATTACAGGTATGTGCCACTATCCCTGGCCAAAGTTTTACATTTTAATTTCAAATACAGAAAATATTGACAGATACAACCCACATAACCCAATTTTAAAAATACATATAACCGGCCACGTACAGTGGCTCATGCCTGTAATCCCAGCACTTTGGGAGGCCAAGGTGGGTGGCTCATTTGAGATCAGGAGTTTGAGACCAGCCTGGCCAACATGGTTAAGCCCTGCCTCTACTAAAAACACAAACAAAATTAGCCAGGCGTGGTGCCAGGTGCCTATAGTTCCAACTACTTGGGAGGGTGAAAGCAGGAGAATCACTTGAACCCAAGAGGCAGAGGTTGCAGTGAGCTGAGATTGTGCCACTGCACTCCAGCCTAGGGGACAGAGCGAGACTCTGCCCCCAACCCCCCCCCCCAAAAAAAAGACACATATATATATCTCGAAATAATTTTTATGAGATAAAGGAGCTGGGTGCAGTGGCTCACGCCTGTAATCCCAGCACTTTGGGAGGCTGAGGCGGGAGGACCACCTGAGGTCAGGAGTTCCAGACCAGCCTGGCCAACATGGAGAAATCCTGTCTCTACTAAAAATACAAAATTCGCTGGGCGTGGTGGCACATGCCTGTAATCCCAGCTACTCAGGAGGCTTAGGCAGGAGAATCACTTGAATCCGCGAAGCGGTGGTTGCGGTGAGCCGAGATCACACCATTGCACACCAGCCTGGGCAACAAGAGTGAAACTTCATCTCAAAAAAAAAAAATTCTACTTTAGCTGCTGTTACTATTTGTTAAGCAGTTTTTTTGTTTGTTATCCAGGCTGGAATGCAGTGGCCTGATCATGCCACACTTAAGCCTGGACCTCAAGCGATTCTCTCACCTCATCCTCTTGCATAGCTGGGACTACAGGTACATCACTTTGCCCGACTTGTCAAGCAGTTTTTGGTCAAAGTTATAGGAAAGGTCGGAAAATAACCTCCAATATTTTTTCCAAGCAGTAGACCTTAAACCTCGGCAGGTGGGAAAGCACAAACTTGCATCTTTAAAAAAAGCACAAAACTCATTTCATTATTACACATTAGGCTTTTTGAAACTGAATAGATACGACACTTACAGAGTCATGGGTGAGGTATGTATCGCAGTAGTCACAATAAAACCTGAAAAGAGGTGGAAGAAAGAGAAAAAGAGATAACCAGTTAGATACCCATCCACGGAAGCGCTGTTCATGGAAGATAAAAACAAAGAAACAAACAAAAAACCCGACCTCGTCACGACTCAAAGGTGTCAAACAAAGCGTCGACACATAACCCAGGCTTTTTTTGTTGCCTTAAGCGGGATCCATCTCAATTCTAAAAAAGGGTGTCTAGCGCTCTCCATCTCCCTACCTCGTCCACCCGCCCCAGATCCTCTCCTATCCCTCGAGGTTTCAGAAACCAGACGCCGCTCTCCGAGCCTGCATGAGGGCCACAAGTAGTCACTACCATCATCCTCAAATTTCAGGGCCCCACTCACTTGGGCATGTTGCTCCGCAAGCCGTTGGCCACTCCGTTCCGTGACGCACGGAAATGACGCACACAGCCAGCGCCGACACCGCGGAACCCCAAGAGACCAGCGCGAAGACTTCGAAACCCTAACCTCCTACAGCCGAGCGAGGGGCGGAGCTTTTCCTTTTCTTCCTTTCGCCTATAGGAGGGAGGGAAGGAGGAGTACTACGGATCGCTACGAGGTTCAGTCCAAGCCCATTTAATCTTGTTTCTCGATGTTTCCGGAAGAGCTTATTTATTCTTTCTATAAATATCTAATGAGTCTTTGCTGCGCGCCTGGCGCTGCTATAAATGCTGAATAAACAAAAGTGAACAAAACAGACAAAAATTATTGTCCTCGTGGAGTTGACATTCTAGTGGAACAAGACAGTTGTTAAAACCAATAGCCGGCGCCGTGGCTCGCTCTTGGAATCTCAGGTACTGGGGAGGCTTAGGCGGAAGGATCCCTTGAGCCCGCAGCCCTGGGCAACATAGCGAAACCCTTGTCTCTACAAATAATTTATAAATTATCCGGACGCCTGTGGTCCCAGCTACTCGGAGACTGAGATGGGAGGATCGCTTGAACCCAGAAGGTCGTGGCTGTAGTGAGCCGTGATCTCGCCTGCACTCCAGGATGGGTGACAGAGTGGTACCCTATCTCAAAAAAATAATAAATATTTATAGTAGTAGGTTAGGTGGAGCAAAGTGAAGCAGAGAATAGGAGAGTCCAACTTTATAGAGGATAGAGAAAGGTTATCGCTTGTCTTTTTAAAATTTATTTTTCATTTTTGTTTTTGGGAAATGTTATCTTTTTTTTTTTTTTTTTTGAGACGGAGTTTTGCCCTTGTTCCCCAGGCTGGAGTGCAATGGCGCGATCTCGGCTCACCGCAACCTCCGCCTCCTGGGTTCAGGCAATTCTCCTGCCTCAGCCTCCTGAGTAGCTGGGATTACAGGCACGCACCACCATGCCCAGCTAATTTTTTGTAGTTTTAGTAGAGACGGGGTTTCACCATGTTGACCAGGATGGTCTCGATCTCTTGACCTTGTGATCCACCCGCCTCGGCCTCCCAAAGTGCTGGGATTACAGGCCTGAGCCACCGCGCCCGGCGGGAAATGTTATCTTTACACAGCTAACTACAATCACCATGTCAAGTAAAAAAATAATAATAATAAGAGAAATGTTGTCTTTACAAAATGACAACTGAGAAATTACCTTTCTTTTTAGCGCAATAAAACCAAAACCAAGTGCAAGTGGCTCTATGTATCATGTATTTTTTTTTTTCTTTTTTTGAGGCAGAGTCTCGCTTTGTTGCCCAGGCTGGAGTGAAGTGGCACAATCTTGGTTCACTGCCACAATCTCAGTTCACTGCAACCTCTACCTCCCGGATTCAAGCAGTTCTCTGCCTCAGCCTCCCCAGTAGCTGGGATTGCAGGCGCCTGCCACCACACCTGGCTAATTTTTTTTTTTTTTTTTTTACTTTTAGCGGAGACGGTTTCGCCATCTTGGCCAGGCTGATCTTGAACTCCCGAGCTCGTGATCCACCCGCCTCAGCCTCCCAAAGTACAGGGATTGCAGGCGTGAGCCATGGCGCTGGGCCTATATCACGGCTTTTTTTTTTTTTTTTTTTTTAATCTCATTAACCCCAGAAATCACCAGTTTCAAGACCCATCTTGCTGCTTCCTCAGCTATGCTACTTGAGCAAGTTATTTACTGTTTCTGAGCCTCAGTTTCCTCATCTGAAAATTATGGGTAATAATTCTTGTAGGGTTTAAGGAAGAATTACATGTGAAGATGCTTGTAAAGTGTTTAATGCAAAGTACACACTAGGCCCTCCGCAAATGGTAGTTACTACATAGGAAGAAATTGATAGAAGTAACTTGTCCACAGATATCACCTGTTATAGCAACAAGGCCAAACTTCCAATCTGGTCTATCAGACTCAAAAATGGCCTTCCTCCTTTTAGAAAAAGGAAATATTAAGAAGTGCTGGGACCTGCGGAGAGGGAGCTTTTTGTTTTTGTTCTTCTGCACACAATCTCTGAGTAGAATTGCAACCAAATAATAGTAATAATTGCTAGTTTATTTAAATGTTTACTATGTCATAGGTTCTTTAAATGCATTAATTTACTTAATCCATTCAATAACCCTATTTATTCACATTTCAGATGAGGAAACTGACCTTTAGAAGAAGTAAGCACCACAAAGATTACTTCGTGGTCCTAAGGAGAAAGTTAACTGAGTAATGAAGTTCTCAGGCTCTTATCACCCTAATACCATGGTAAATCTTAACACGATTAATGGTAGAACAACCAGATAATGTGTCTCCTGCTGGGATGACAACATTAAGTAGATACCATCAACTATGACTTTTTTTGAGAGAGAGTGTGTAGATAGAATGCAGTGGTTCTATCACAGCTCACTTCAGCCTCAACCTCCCAGGATCAAGCAATCCTGCCTCTTCAGCCTTCCAAGTAGCTGGGACTACAGGCACGTGCCACCATACCCTTGTTAATTTTTCTAATTTTTTGCAGAAGCAGGATCTCAAACTCCTGACTTCAAGCAATTCTCTCACCTCAGTCTCTCCAAGTTCTGGGATTACACGTGTAGGCCACTACACCCAGCAGCTATGATGTATTATCAAAATGTTTAGTACCCACAAAGATTAAAAATAATTTTAAAAAATGTCTGACTTAGATGTAATCAAGTTAGTAGGATAAGCTACAGGATCAGCTAAAGGAAAGCAAAAGGCAGCAAATTCTAGAGGTAGGACATTGTAAGGACAACTGGCGTCTTTGCTTCACCAACTTAGGAAAAGGTATTTTTCTACATTTAAATATTAAGAGACGTAACAACCAGATGTAGTGTATCATCTAGATCTAGATCCTAGTTCAGACAAACCAGCTGTAAAGGACATTTTGCAGAAAATGCCTGGGTCTTAATGTTGTAGTTCCAGAAACCCACCTTTGTCCAGGTACCCTCAGTTGATTTTCCTCGAGGGAATGGATTCATCAATTAAGTTGTTTGTTTTGGTTTGGTTTTGGGGTTTTTTTGAGACAGGGTCTCACTCTGTCACCCAGGCTGGAATGCAGCGGTGCTGCTATCTCAGTTCACTGTAACCTCTGCTTCCTGGATTCAAGAGATTCTCATGCCTCAGCCTCCCAAGTAGCTGGAATTATAGGCACGTGCCACCACGCCCTCCTCATTCTTTTGTATTTTAAGTAGAGACAGGGTTTCACCATGTTGGCCAGGCTGGTCTCAAACTCCTGACCTCAAATGATCTGCCATTCTCAGCCTCCCAAAGTGCTGGGATTACAGGCATGAGCCACCATGCACAGCCTATCAATTATGTTTTGATTTCTTCCTGATTTCTCTGTGCTGATCCTGGCCTTTTTTGCCTTCAAGTCTATTTTTCTTCTTTTCCCTGCTTTCAAAAATGGCAATGGAAGCCAGGTGGAGTAGGTCACACCTATAATCCCAGCTATTCAGAAGGCTGAGGTGGAAGGATCACTTGAGCCCAGAAGTTGGAGGCTACAGTGAGCTATGTTCTGGCCCCTGCACTTCAGCCTGGGCAATGGGGAAAGACTCTGTCTGTATTTAAAAAAAAAAAAAAAAAAAGCCAGGCACAGTGCCGCACACCTGTAATTCCAGCACTTTGGGAGGCTGAGGCAGGCGGATCACAAGGTCAAGAGATCGAGACTATCCTGGCCAACATGGTGAAACCCTTTCTATTAAAAATACAAAAATTAGTTGGGCATGGTGGCACATGCCTGTAGTCCCAGCTACTCGGGAGGCTGAGGCAGGAGAATTACATGAACACAGGAGGCGGAGGTTGCAGAGAGCTGAGATCATGAGATCATGCCACTACACTCCAGCCTGGCAACAGAGCGAGACTCTGTCTTAAAAAAATTAAAAAGTGGCCGGGCGCAGTGGCTCAAGCCTGTAATCCCAGCACTGTGGGAGGCCGAGGCGGGTGGATCACGAGGTCAAGAGATCGAGACCATCCTGGTCAACATGGTGAAACCCCATCTCTACTAAAAATACAAAACATTAGCTGGGCATGGTGGCACGTGCCTGTAATCTCAGCTACTTAGGAGGTTGAGGCAGGAGAATTACCTGAACCCAGGAGGCAGAGGTTGCGGTGAGCCGAGATCGCGCCATTGCACTCCAGCCTGGGTAACAAGAGTGAAACTCCGTCTCAAAAAAAATAAAAATAAAATAAAAATAAAAAAGTCATTGGTGGACTGACTCCATGAAGGCTGCATGGCCTGGACTCCTGTGCTGGTTGACTTCCAAGCTGAATTGCTGGGCTCCATCAGACGGATGCATTTTCTGGAGATAAGAGTGATCAAAGAAAAAGTCAGAGTACCTTTTATCCCCATGCCACCTCCAAGCCAGAGTATCCATCCTTTTCCCACCCCTCAACATCAGGCTGTCTCCTACAACCTCCTTGGATCTAACTTTTAGCAGATGATCCCACACCCTGGGCTCTGGTTGAACAATGTTGTCCTTCTGTCCCTCCAGTGTAAGGATGACAGTAGCTTCTTGCTGTCACTCATCTGTGTCTGGGCTATTTGACTATTCTCTGTTTGGCTTTTTGTCTCTGCCAACACCTGTATAAACCAAATACCTGGACTAAGTTCCCTGTGTTTTAAAGACTTGGAATGGTTTTCCAGGTTGGACCTTGACATATATATATGCTTAGTGACCTTATCTCTTTTTTTATCTTCTTTTTCGTTTTACTAACAGCGGATCTCTCTGCAGATGTGACCTTATCTCCAAGTTCCAAGGGGTATCTCCATCATGTCCTGCCCATGGGCCCTGCTATCTTATAAAGCGGTGCTTTTCACACTTTTTCTCTGAATGTCCCAGCCAACTGAGAGAGTTCATTTGTCACCCTCATTCCTCTAGGTCTACAGCCAAAATCCCAAGTGCCCACCTGAGCTTGAAATGCCCTTGAACTCTTGTGTTCTTATATGGTGTCTTAAAAATTCACAATGTTTGTAATGCACTTAATAACACATCTATGTTGTTCTTAAGGTATTTTACACTTAAAATGTATTTTATTTACTTATATTTGAATAGGTAGTATACACACATGGTGGAAAATTAGAAAACCACAAAAATGTTCCCGAGCCACACCCTTGTTCCCAGTTTTTTTTCCTTTCTTTCTTTCTTTCTTTCTTTTTCTTTCTTTCTTTTTCTTTTCTTTTCTTTCCTTCTTTCTTTCTTTCTTCTTTCTTTTTTGAGAGGAAGTCTTACACTGTTGCCTGGGCTGGAATGCAGTGGCATGATCTCAGCTCACTGCCACCTCCAGCTCCCAGGTTCAAGCAATTCTCAGCCTCAGCCTCCCTAGTAGCTGAGATTACAGGCATGTGCCACCATGCCCGGCTAATTTTTATATTTTCAGTAGAGACAAGGTTTCACCATGTTGTTCAAGCTG